GGAAGGCGGGAGGGGGAGGAGGAGCAGCGGCAGGAGGACGCGCCCCCCCTCCGCGCTCGGTGGCCGGGGCGGCGGGGGCGGCCGAGAAGCCCGCCCGTGACCGCCCGCTGAGTGCAGTGACAGATCCCCTTCGATCGCAGGCGGCCGTGGTGGAGGAGGACAGGGAATGAGAGGACACTGAAGAGGAGGAAGAGGTCATTGAATAGTACATTGCGAATGAAAATCGACGCCCGTAAATGGGGAAGGGGACGTGAAGGAGGGGAAAGGAGCGCGAGATGGGCGACGCGAGGGGGTGGGCAATCGAAGGAGAGGCGGGGGGCACTCTGTTCGCACCCTGCAGCGCTTGACCACCACTCTGTGGGCCAGTGGCGCGCCCGTCCGCTCGGCATTGGTCTCCAACTTCTCGGCCTGCCAGACGCCTGCAACATCGCGGCACTGTCCACTTTCAACGGAACTCCCCGCTCGAACATTAGCGGGCCTTTGCGGAATCTTCGCGCCCGACGCGGAGGGCCCTGCCGTGCCCAACTGGCCCGCCCACCCGGCCACGGTGGCAGAGCGTACGAAACATCATCGCGCCCAAGACGATACCGAGACACTCCCAACAGGCCCCGATGTAGCCCCAAGAAGGCCTTCGAGAGGGCCCCCCGAGGCTCCCAAAGAGGCTCTTTTGACACCCCACAATTCCAACGCAAGACCGCCCAAAAAGGACCATGGAAGGTCTGCTTCGGTAGGTTGACAATGGACTGGCGCAAGCATGTGATGTACTCAAGGGAAGGGAACGAGCAAATAGGACAGGCGCGTGGCGCGTGAGAGAGGAAGAGGGGCTCCATCCACGCGGATGCGAGATTCGTGCGTCGGCAAGAGGCGGCGGAACGAAAGACCACACGCCAAAAAGGGTATACGAATATGGCTCAGCCGCCAAAAGATCAAGGACGTCTCGGAGGCGGGCCAAGAATATGCCAAGTCGCTGTGCTGGCGCAAGACGCCCTGCGAATCCATCGACAAGGCCCACAAACAGAATACCCAGAACTCCCCGAGGCGGGATCAGGAAGAGCATCAGTGGCCTTGTTTCTGTCGCGAGGCCCCAACACGGCTGCACTCCGGGCCCTTCACGGCGAAGGGGGAGCATTGGATGCACACGCCCAGCCTACCGTTGGGCAATCGTGGCCTGCCGAGGGCAAACTGAAAGAAGAGCAACACCCTCGTCTCCCCCTTCACGGTCTTGGTCACTTTTAAGCCTCCACCGTCCTGACTGGGCTTGGCTTGAGCTGCCGCTGCGCACGGGCGTCCACGCTGTCTGTTGGCGGCGCGCAGAAGGGGGTGGAGGGAGGGGGGAAGGCTTCTTAGAAGGAGGCTGCTTCTTAGAAGGCGGCGGCCTTACATCCATACATAAGGACCGCGCCTTCTAAAAAGCAGGGGTGCTTCTAAGAAGCCTTCCCCCCTCCCCCTACCCCCTCTGCGCGTGGCCGAGTCTGTCCACGGCAAGGCGGGCGAGGCCAAGAGCCTCCGGAAAATACACACAAACATCCGCAACAAAAAACAGGACACCAAATCAAAGGAAAACGAGAGGGCGACATCTGGCCTTGCGGGCCGAGGCTCGCCCTGGCTCCCAGCTCACGCTGGCCGGTGCGGCTCCTCCAGGAGAGCCAGGAAACGACGTGAGCGTAACCTTCGGAGGTCTGCGCGGATCTCGTCGGCGCTGGACCACCTCCCTTTCCTGGCGCACGGAGCGTGCCGGTGGCGGTGCTGGAGGCGCCGCCAGGGGCGGCCCAGCGCCGAACCAAGAGGTCCGCGCAGGCCTACATTGATGCTTGTGCAGCTTGCTATTCGCACACCGTGCCCTGCGATGAGCAACGAGGGATTATCTTCACACCCTCGCACCGTCGCCCTGGAGAGGGGCACCAACACTCTCCAAAACTCAGCCGCGATTCCCGGAGCGCGGCTATCGTCGCGACCCCTCGGATGACCTAGAACTTTTCCGATCTTCGGTCCTCCTCCCCCGCGGTGCTGGCGCCGCCTGGGCCCCGGCCGACGCCCTCCGCGCCCCGCTCCGCCCAGAAGTCGAGCGACGTCGGGCCAGCTGCCGCGCCCGGGGCGGCGCCCTCCGCGGGCGCCTCCCGAGGCTGCTGCCCCCCCTCGCACGGCCCCTCCCCTGCCCGGCCACACGCCCTGGCGGGCGCGGGCACGGCCGCGGCATCGACGACGGGCGAGAGCGCCGCAGGCGGAGGCGCGGAGGGCGCGGGCGCGGCGGGCTCCTCGCCGGCAGCCTCGCCCTGGGCCTCGGGCGTGGCCGGCGTCTCACCGCCGGTGGCCGGCTCCGTCGCCGGCGTCGCAGCGCCGCTGGGGGGCTCGGCCTGGGGGGGAGGCGCCCGCCGCGGGGGCTCGAACGCGAGCTGCTTGGCCTCGGCGCCGCACGCTTGGAGGTTGGACTGGGCGTACGAGATGCTGCCGCGGCCGTCCGGGTCCAGGAGCGGCTGGCCCCCCTCGGCGAAGAGGCGGCCAGCCAGGGTGGGGTCCATGGCGGACGCCATGGCCTCCAGGTACTCTACCATGTGATGGTCCTCGAGACGGATGCAGTCGCGGGTGAGAGGGCGCCAGGGCTTGAACTCGTCACTCAGCAGGAATATGCGTGACAGGTGCACGTAGCACGCGGCTGGCCGCAGCAGGTGGGCAGCGATGTGAGGGCTCTCGAGCATCTCTTCGATCTTCGTGACGAGGCCTCCAGGGCCAGCCGCGTAGTCCACGATAGTTCGGGCTACGCTGGACATCTGCCCGCCCATCCAGCCCGTAAAATAGCCCATGAAATCCTGGAGATCCAACTCCGACCACAGGCGCGGAGCAGGGTCCCCGCCGTGTATGTACAGCACGGAGCGGGACCGCATGAAGGCGGCGAGGTCCTCCCTCACGTCGGAGCCCTGCGCGGCGCCGAGCGCCATCGGGGAGCCGAACGACACGCTGCGGCAGCAGGCCACCAGCGGCTCCTCGGTTCCAAAACACCGGCTCCCCAGACCTCCAACACAATGCTGGCTTTCTCCAAGCGCGACCTGTGGACCTATGAGAGAGCGTGATCCACCGCCGCTTTACTGTTGAAAATTGCCGCCCTTTTCCTTCGGACCCCGGGGGTCCCCCGCCCCCCCCTCCGAAAATCCCCCCCCCCCCTGCTGGACCCCCCCCACCCACCCCAACAACCCCCTTCCCCGCAAACCCCCCCCTTCCCCTAACACCCTCCCCCCCCTTGGAAAACGAGGGTCACTACCTGTTATCGAACCCCCCCCCCTCGAAAACCGGAGTATACCGCTGCTGGCGGAAATGGGGGGCGGCAAACAGGGGGGTGTCCAAGAGGGGGGGTGCAAATCATGACCGGCGGCACGTGCGCGGCCCAGCGGGGGGGCCAGGCTCCGGAAAACCGAGGGGGGTCACTACCGGTTCGACCCCCCCCCCGCTCGAAAAACGGAAGGGGGGGACACTAACCGTTTTTCGAACCCCCCCCCCCTCCCACCGCCAGCAAACGACTCCCGGTCCCTACCACCGTCCTCACCACATCCCCCACTGTTGTTCCCAGCACCACTGTCCTCACCACCACTGTCCCCACTGGCTCCACCACCGCCCCTACTGTCCCCACCAGTGCCACCACCACTGTCGCACTGTCCCCACTGTCCCCACCACTGTTCCCACCACGGTTCAACTCTCCCAACTTTCTCCACGGCCCCAACCACTGTCCGACTATCCCCACTGTCCCCACTGTCCCACTGACTCCTCCGCTGTCCCACTGAGCTGTCCCGCTGTTCCCACCACTGTCCCCACTGTCCCCACCACTGTCCCCACTGTACCTCTGTCCCATTGTCCCACCGCCGTCCTCGCCACCGCCTTCACCACTGTCCCCACCACCACTGTACCCTCCACTATCCTATTGTTTCCACCACATTCCCACTGTCCCCACACCACTGTCCCCACCACCACCGTCCCCACCACTGTCCCACTGTCCCCACTGCTCCCACCATTGTCCTCACCATTGTCCCCACCACTACCGTCCCCACCACTGTCCCACTGTCCCCACCACTGTCCTGCTGTCCCCTCACCACTGTCCCCACCACCACCGTCCCCACCACGGTCCGCACCCCCCCTCGGTTTTCGAGTGGGGGGGGGGGTTCGAACCGGTAGTGACCCCCACCGGTTTTCGAGTTCGAGGGGGGGGGGGGGGGTCCGAACCGGTAGTGTACACCCCAGTCCTGCCCTTGTGGATGATGAATGGGAAGGTGGGGTGATAAAGGGGGGGGGTTCGAACCGGTAGTGACCCCCCCCAGTTTTCCGGAAGGGGGGGGGTCGAACCGGTAATGACCCCCCCGGGTTTTCCGCCAGCAACGGTAGAACACGCTCTTTCGGACCTATCGACCCCTTCCCTGTGGGCCGAATCCGGCCGGACAGCCCGCAATTCGATTTCGTGCCCAGACCTCAAATTATAGCGAACTTATCCCGGAAATTTCCTCTTCTAGGTTCTGGTAAAATGTTCTGGATTAACGAGAAAGCGGCTCCGACTGCAGCCCTGGCCAAGGCAATGGTTCCTGCTCCGGCTCCGCTAGGGTTTCGTTCTCCGTGGTTGCAGTTCCAGCGTCTGATGGCTTGTTTTTTCCAATGCGGGCCCCCCTGAAGTCCCGATCCTTGCCCAATGGCCTTTCGGCGTTTCATCCTCAATCGTCTACTGTGACGGTCCTGCGGCCAGAAAACAGCCCCTGGAAGCCGAAAACTGCGAAAAACCTCCGTCTTGACGCTGGAGGTCTGGCAATGCGGAAGATCGCCGCCCGGATCCCCTCCAAGACGGCAGAAGCCCAGTACGGCCACTTAGCACCCCCACTCCGGCCCGGCCGCTGGGCAATGGCATGGGGGCAACCCGCGAGGGCCGCAGGAAGCGCCGCGGGCGCTCGAGACGGCTTTCCATCGGGCCAGACGACCTCGGGCTGCCGAGCCCGCACACGGGGCCGTGACTGATCCTGGCGATGGACCCAACCATGGGCCTTTTCCGTTCGCCAAACATACAATGTTTGTGCGTGCCAGCCTGCCGAAAGCTTCGTTCGACAATCGAATACTTCTTACACGTGTCTGCCTACCTGAGACTGGCGCCCTTTGTCGCGCGAACACGGTGGGAACTGAATACGGGCAGCTGCTGTCGCTGCCGTGAGAAAGACACGAAGCATACAAGCCAGTGCGAGGACAGCGGCATTGCCCGTCGACACAAATTACATCTGGTAGCGGTGGCTTCGGAGCCCTGCTCGCCCAATCGCCAAGGCCTTCAGCGCAGGCCGCCTCTGGCTACGGGCTCGGCCGGCAACCGCGAGCCCGCCAGGGGCAGCGCCTGCCGCGCGCCGTGGGGCGGCGGCGGCAGCGGCCGCGGGCTGGCCGACACCAGCCTCGCCGGCGCCTGCGGCGCGTGCGGCAAGTGCGGCGCCGACAGTAGCCTCGCCGGCTGCGGCGGCGGCTGCCTTGGGCGCGCCGACACCGAGAACGCCTGCGCCAGCGGTCCAGGAGCCTGCTGAAGGGCGTCGGGGATGCCGTCGCGGTTCAGGTCGGGCCCGGTCACCTGCACGCTCGCCATGGGCGGAGCTCGCGGGCTGGCGACAAACGTGGCGGCCCGCGGGTGGGCGTAGGTGGCGGCCCGCGGGATGGCGTACGTGGTGGCCCGCGGCTGGCTGCGCGCGAGCGCCTGGTTGAACTCGTTCCGATCGATGACACCGTCGTGGTTGAGGTCGATTGAGTCGAATCCGTTCATAACCTTCTCGGCTGAAGGCACCGCCGTGTAGCGAAACTGCCGCTGGGCTGGCGCCCACGGGGACCACGGCCACTGGGTGAGCGCCGTCAGCATCGGCCGCAGCGGGCCCTGCATGGGCGCCCGCAGTGTGGCCGCCGCTTGCGCGGGGAATCTCGCCGAGGCCTCGCGCGGCGGCGGATCCTCTGACAGAGAGTTGTCCACCATGAAAGAATCCGGCCGCGAATCGTCCTCCAGGCGCTCGATGCTCCTTTTCTTTCTGTCGTTCTTTGCAGAGCTCATCCCGGCCGCTGCAATCACCGCGGCCAGGCAACACAAGCCGACCAGGGCCACGACCGCCCAGAGCCACACGGGGGCGCCGGACCCGTCTGCTTGTATAGCCCCACGCTGTTCGGGTGCGGCACCCCCCAAGTCCATGTTCGCCACGGCTGTGGTGGTCTGCGTCGGTCGGCCGATCTTTTGGTACAAGAGCTCGGTGCAGTTGTCGGGGGGGCCAGACACGTGCCTGAAAATAGGGAAAACGGAGGCCGATTTCGCACCCGCGAGCGCGCACTGGAGCCCGGGCGCACCGATGGTGAAGTGCGCGCACCCCTCGGTGTCCCGGCAAAGCTGCTGACACCGGCTCATCGCCTGCAGGGGGTCCTGGTTGGCGGGGGTGACGTTGAAGCTCGTGGGCTGCACGTTTCGGAAGCCATTGTACATCGTGCTCACCTCCAGGCAACTGAACTCGACGGGCACGAAGGTGTAGTCCCCGACCCCCTTGGACCGCAGCCTGGCCATGCCGTGGCTTAGCGCATCCTCATCGTCCCTGTAGCACCGCTGCGGCCCAGAAACGAAGCCAATCCGATTCGTGTTGCGGATGGCGAACACATCCTGCAAGTGGCAGTCGCCCTGCGGCACCCAGTACGCGAAGTGCATGCACTCCGAGGTCTGCTCGCAGCGCTGCTGGCACGCTAGGGGCGTGGGCTCCCTCGTCACGTTGATGGCCCCCGCGCCGTCCTTCATGTCCAGCGGCTCGTAAGTGACGTGTTTTTCCCAGCAGTCCATGTCCGCGATGCCTTGCACCGCCCGCTCCGCCTCCGCCTGCGAGGCAGCCTCCTGCAGTGCCGGACTCAGGCGCACCTCGGCCGCGGCGCGCACGACGCCGAAGGCCAGGCAGCAACAGGCCAACCCCCGAGCGCGCCCGTACGGCATCGCGCGCCGCGCGCCGCGCGCCGCTGCGCGCGCGGCTTTGGCCCAAAGCCTATCGCCGTTGCAAGTATCGCCGTTTCGGGAATCGCCTTCGGTGGATCTCCTTCTGGAGCAACGAAGCGTGTAAAGGGTGTGCCGACATGGGGCGGGGCCGCCATGCGGGCTGCTCCTGGAGCCCAATGGGACCACGAAACGTGTGAGGGATGTGCCGACATGGGGTGGTGTGCCTTGCGGACGTCGCCTCCGGGCCGTTCGGTGGAGCTCCGCATGGGGCGACAAAACGTGTGAAGGGTGTGCCGAAATGGACGGGGGGGACGCATGTGAACGTCGACAATGGGGATTTCGGTGGGGTCCCCGGGGCCACGAAGCCCTGTGCTGGGCGGAGGAGAGATCGCAAACGTCGCCACTGGGGCCATCGGTGAAGCTCGGTATGGGCCCCCGAAGCGCTGTACTGGGTGGGGCGGACGCATGCGAGCGTCGCCGTTGAGGCCTGCGGTGGGGCTCCTGATGGGCCCACGAAGCGCTTTACTGAATGTGGCGGACGGGCGCCTTCGGTGGACCTCCCTCAGGGAGCACGAAGCGCTGTAGTGGGTGGGGCGGACGCATGCGAATGCCGCCACGGAGCTCTCGGGGGCGCTCTCTTTGGGGACACGACGCGCTGTACTGAGTGGGACAAGCGCATGCGAAAGTCGCCACAGGGACGTCCAGTTGAGCTTTGCATGGGGCCACGGAGCGCTGCACTGGGTGGGGCGAACGCGTGCGAACATCGCCAGTGGGGCCTTCAGTGGGGTTCCCAATGGACCCACGAAGCGCTGCTCTGGGCGGGGCGGGCGCATACGAACGTCACCACGGGGGCCTTCGGTCGAGCTCTGCATGCGCTCCCGAAGCGCTGTAGTGGTCGGGGAGGACGCATGCGAATGTCGCCGCTGGGGTTTTCGGTGGGGCCCCCAATTAGCCACGCAGCGCTGTAGTGGGCAGGGCAGACGCATGCGAACTTCGCCACTGGGGCCTTCGGTTGGGCTCTCTATAGGGCCGCGAAGCGATGTACTGAATGGGACAAACGCATGCGAATGTCGCCGCGGGGCCCTCCGTGGCGCTCTCCTCGAGGACACGAAGCGCTGTACTAGGTGGGGCGGACGCATGCGAACGTCGCCATGATGGCTGTTGGTGGAGCTCCGCATGGGGCCAGGAAGCACTGTTCTGGTTGGGGCGGGCGCGTGCGAGCGTCGCCACGAAGGCCTTCGATGCTTTCTGTTGGCCCACGGGGCATGTACTCGGTCGGGCGGACGTATGCGAACGTCGCCACGGGGGCCTTCGGTGGAGCTCCCGATGGGTCCAAGAAGCGTTGTGCTGGGCGGGGCGAGCGCATACGAACGTCGCCACTGTTTTTTTGTCGGTGGAGCTCCCTACGGGCCCACGAAACGCTGTGCTGGATGGGGCGGACGCATGCGAACGTCGCCACGGGGGCCTTCAGTGGAGTTCCCTGTGGGCCCACGGAGCGCAAGCGGATGCGAACGACGCCACTGGGGCCGCCGGTGGAGCTCCTTATGGGACTACGGAGCGCTGTACTGGGTGGGGCGGGCGCATGCGAACGTCGCCAGTGGGGCCTTCAGTGGGGCGCCCTATGGGGCCCACGGAACGCTGTACTGGGCGGGGCGGACGCATGCCAACGCCCTCCGTGGCGCCTTCGGTGGAGCTCCTGATGCGCCCCCGAAGCGCTGTACTGGGTGGGGCGGGCGCGCGCGAACGTCGCCATGGGGGCCTTCGATGGAGCTCTGCATGGGGCCGCGAAGCGTTGTACTGGGCGGGGCGGACGCATGCGAACGTCGCGCCTTCGATGGAGCTTTGCATGGGCCCACGAAGCGCTGTACTGGGTGGGGCGGGCGCATGCGAACGTCGCCACGTGGGCCTTCGGTGGAGTTCCCTACGGGCCCACGAAACGCCGTGCTGGGCGGGGCAGACGCATGCGAACGTCGCCACGGGGGCCTTCGATGGAGTTCCCTACAGGACAACGAAGCGCTGTACTTGGTGGGGCGGTCACATGCGAAAGTCGCCGTCGCCCGGCCCCAGGACAATGCGTGGCGGCCGAGATCAGTCTATGATCGAAACTCGCCTTGCCGAACTTGAAATTGCCGATTCCACTGCTCGCGCACTCATCCCACAACCCACCCGCAACTTGGTTTGCAAAATCCACGCAGAAGAGATTGCGGTGATTGCCTTGCGCTGGATGGCGCATCGCTGCAGCCGCGCTGGCGCGCGCAGGCTCGCGCACAGAGCGGCCAACTAGTCTGGCGCGACGGACGCAGCGGCCGTGGCGCTGACCGCTGGAAACTCCCCACCGCGTCTCGCAGGTCGCGCTGGTGCGTGGGCAGTTCAATTAGAGTAGGTGGTTCGGCGGGCGCGGTGTCATTGCGACGACGACGACGACGTCAGACGCGGTACGAGGGTTTGAATTCTTGGTTAAAACGAACGATGGGGCACAGTCATATTTACATTGCACACCACCAACGTGAACTGATAATCCCGCTTTCGGGGAGGTGGTAAATCCGACCTTGCTTTTTAGGAGGGAGGGTCGACGCGGTGAATGTACGTGGTGCAAAATAGGTTGTCCAATCTGTGAGGCGCATTCTTCGTGGAGCATTCAACGTTGTGAAATTAGCGTTTGTTCGCAATGACCTGTCAATTCCGCTGCTCGCGCAATCATCTCACCCACTCACACGCCACTGCTAGCCCTCCCAACGTGGCAAATCCCTAATTGAACCTGACCCATGCCCTGTCGATTTTCGCCAAATCTAACGTGGCCCATTGAAGCTGACGTGACCAACGGCTCGGCGACACCAGTGTGTCACGCGCGCGCTGTAGCAAATGATGCACCAGAATTGGGCGACACAACAACATGCAATGCAAAAGTGCCAACTGTATCACTAATCCCTCTTCGTTTCCAATGAAGAGTCTAACCGGCGCTAAAGCGAGAGCAAGTTTCACAATCATGGATGTAGCCAGGGCTAAGGCGAGAGCAACAGTCTCAAACATGGATGTGGCTGGCGCAGAGGCAACAACAGCTTTCGCAAGTGTGGATGTGGCCAGATACGGCGAGAGCAACTTTCGTAATCCTGGGTGCTGGCCCTGCAGCAACAACTACATTTGCAATCACGAATGTGGCCGGCGCTGATGCGAGAGGAACTTTTGTAATCGTGGGTGTGGACGGCGCTGAAGCGAGAGCAACGTTCGTAATCGTGAATGCTGTCGGCGCCGGGTCAACACCAATACTCGCAGTCATGGATGTGGCCAGCGCTGAAGCGAGAGCAACGTTCGCAATCATGGATATGGCTGGCGCTGGAACGACAACAAAACTTTTGAAAATATAAGAGGCCCACGCACAAGCCGGAGCATCATTCCGAGACAATTGCGTCGCCAAAGTGCAAGTATCACGCCCAGTCCCTGCCGGCCAGGTTCGGCGTCAGCGACGTCCGGGCTACGTTAGGTAGGTAGTCTACGGGAGGTGATTGTGATGACTGCTTGGCGCTGGCTGGCGCATCGTTGCGGCCGCGCTAGCGCGCGCAGGTTCGCGCGCGCAGCGGCCAACTGGTCTGGCGCGACCGACGCGGCCGCAGTGGCGCTGACCGCCGGGCACTTCCCAACGCGTCTCGCAGGCCGCGTTGACGCGCGGGCACCTCAATGCGAGTCGGTGACTCACGCAGGCGCGGTATCATGGTGACGTCGACAACGGCTGACGCGATACTGATAGTAGCAGTGCTGGTGACGAGGATGACGATGACAACGGCAAGTGCAATGGCGGCACCGATGCTGATCACTCCGATGACGATGATGGTGTCCACGCGTCGGCGATGAAGGTTGTGGAAAGATATCTACGCGCTCGCGCCACCGACGCGCGCAAGCGACCCGCATGGCATCATTTGACAAGGGTCGTGCCGTCACAGCCGCGCGCGCGTGTGGATTTCGTCCCACGCGTTTGCAAGGGACTCTTAAAGATTTGTGATAATCGAGTGCGCGCGCGCAATCCGCCACCGTGCCCCCTGGCACGTCGAGGCGTGCTTAAATGCCAAGTGCTGTCTGATAGGGTTTTTACAATCTGCTAAGGGACGCCCCCCTTCTGGGTCCCGAAGTGTTGCGTGCATCGCCCATGCTCCCTGGGGTCCCTGGGCGGCCATGGCACCTCCCTGGGGCTCCAAGGGTTCAGTGACGGCCTATGAGGGCCCCAAAGCGGTCCAAGGGGTCCCGAGTCGCGGAACGATCGCTCGAAGGGCGTCAAGATGGCGCAAGAAGCTTCCAAGGCGCCTCTAGAGGCCTCCAAGAGGTTTCCCAAAAGGGTCCCCGAAGACAAAAATCATTGGTTTCCGTTCGTTTTCGACAGAGTTTGGCGTTCTCGCCTTTTCGGCTTTCGGACGCTCCAAGACAGCCCAAGAGGCCCCCCGAACCACCCCAAAACACGCCCAAGAGGCCACCAAGACAGCCCCAGCACGGCCCAAACACGCCCCACGACGGCCCAAAAAACACAACAAAAACGGCCCGCAAAAAGGGCCAGGAAAAGGAGCACGAACAGAACATCCGAGCCTTTCGCCCCAGAGGGACCCCAGGCGGCGCCCAAGAAGCCCTAAGACGCCCCCTAGAGGCTTCCCAGAACCCCACAAAAGGCCCTAAGAGGCCCCTAGGGAATCCCCCAAAAGGCCCCCAAACGGCCCTTACGTGACCTCAGAACTGCCCACAAGAGGCCCCCGAGAGGCCCCCTACGAGATTCCACCGACCATCCACTACTCACGCCCCCCCGGTGTTCACTCGAAGGAGAGCCGCCGAGCATGCTTGGCTGGCGCGGCGGCGGGGCTCGCCGCCGGCAGCTGTTTTTTTGTTGCAAGGAATGACGGAGCCAGTCCACACCAGTTTGGCGAGGAGGATATGAGTTCATATTTGAAATGACCAATGGGACAAAATCGCATGTACATTTCACGTAACCAATGTGAGTGGAGTCCCGCCCTCGGGGAGGTAATGGATCCGAACCCCCGTTTGGGAAAAAATGTTCGACGCGGTGCAATGTA